GTAAGGATTGGTGTGCACGCTGCTGCTGCTGCTGCTGCTAGAGCTGCTAGTGGCAGAGGTGGGCAGCAGGGCAATTGTAGGTCGTTTGGTGGCCGATCCAGAAAGACTGGAAAGTACATCAGCAGAAGAGGAGCCAGTATTTCGATTAAAAGCAAACTGAAAGGTGGTGGGCGGAGGAGTGGTGGTGGTGGTAGCCATTGTAGTGCTCGGTGTTGTGGTGCTCGGCGTTGTGGAGGAGGTGGTGGTCGTTGGTGGCGGTGGTGTGGGCGTTTCTAAAAAAAGAAAACAAAGGTTTGTTAGTTTAGATGAAAAAAAGAAAGTAAACCTAAGCAAAACTTACCCAAACAGTACCCGGGCTGTGCGTCCCAGTATCCGGCCAGGTTGCAAGTGATCACCCGTTCTCCAATCAACTCAAAGCCCGGCTCGCAGCTGTACTCCACGGCGGAGCCAAACATTGTGCTATTGTTGTTACTTAGGCTGTAACCACCGTTGACGATCATCGGCGGCTGGGGACAGAGGACCGGCTCACAGCGAGGCGGCGGCCCGTTCCAGCGCCCGTCGGCGTCACAGGCCAACGTCGCCCGGCCCACCAGAACGTAGCCATCTTTGCAGTGGTAGGTCAGCGTGGAGAGGAAGGCTCGGCTGGAGCCGTTGTTCAGTGTGTAGTGGCCATTGGAGATGGAAGCGGGGAAGCCGCATTCAATGTCTACGGGAAGAAAAAGATGGAGTCAGTAAGATAAGCACACATTTGAGCAGGAAGAAGAAGAAGTGGTGATAGTGGCGGACAAATCAAATCACAGCTTTGACAGAGGACATTAAAGATTTTATCAGTTGTTTTGAACCAATTGAATTGTGGTGATGGTGCTGAAGTAGGCCACCACCACCAGGCTTCAACTTCAATTCAAAATCGGCTCACTTTCGCCTCACTGAACACACACTCCTACCGAAAGAGCACTGTCTGAAAAAATAACAACAAACAAAAAACAGAGAATGGCTGATTGTTGTTGTCCTGCAGATCCTGCATCACTGCCAAACAGTGGTCTAAACGACAAGCGATTCTTTTGGAGAAATAAAAAATTGAAACTAGGCTGCCCGCTCTCTTTCTCTCTCAGATGCAAATCAGTGAACCGATTAGCCCTGATTATAGCTGCTGTAGCTGAATAAAGTGAAAATAGTTTTTTTCGTTGGTAAACTAAACGACATTCAAAAGGACTTACAGCACAACAAAAAGTACTTTGAAACAACTAGGATGTGCTTTTTCTGGTAAAAATCTACTACTTGAAATAAATCAAAAGCAGCTTTCAGCTATTTGCAATCATTAACGATGACAGACTCTGTGCTGTGTAAACTTTCTTCTCTGAAAACCATCTTCTCCTTTTCTTTTCCGCCAACACCTCGGTCAGTGTCACTCGGTGTCAAAGTTGTAAATAAGTGTCCTCAACTGTCAACAAACACTGCAACTACAACTACGACTACTTTCACTACTAAAACACGTGAAAACGATCACTCAGCAGCAGGAGCAGCAGCAGCAGATGGTAAATCACCAAAGCTCGTGACACAATTTTTTCGAATCCTACTTTTTCAACAAAGTCAAGTTCGCCAAACCGTGATGATTTATGACACTGCAGACAAAAGGAACAGCAACAGACACTGCTGAAGGGCAAACTCTGCGTGGGGCTGTCTTTGCTTTTTGCAGACCAGGAACTAACTAACTAACATTAAAAAGAGACACATCGTCACCAGACCTGTTTTGCTGGTGCTGCTGCTAAACACAGCCAAATTATAAAGGCATCAAATCTTGTCCGTCTAGGCAACCTAATCTGCATATTCTAGAAACAAAAAACATTTAGGCTATTACTTACACTTGCACTTGGGGGCAAACTCGCTGAAGAAGCCATTCGGCAGACAGGTCCTAATGCTAGGGCCCACCAGCAGACTTCCATCACCACAGCGGTACTCAATGGTGGCACCGACGTCGGTACTAGCAGCCAGAACCGTCGAATTGACCGGTCGTTCCGGTTTTCCGCAAGACAGCGGCCGGTGCTGGCACATAAAGTTCAGTTTGCTGGCGCAGTTCGTGTCCGACCAGAGGAAGCCCTTGGTGCCGTCGAAACGGGAGCAGTTTTCCGACGTTCCCGGGAGGTTCCAGAAGGACAGCGTCACGTCCTTTCCGTTTATCCACTTCCAGTTATTGCCATTTTGGGAGTCTCGAACGACGCCCAGCCAGTACTGGCCGTGCTTGTCGTTCTTATGCCTTCGGTACAGTTCCCAGCTGAGAAAGCCCTGAAGGGCAGGGGAGATTTGATTGACCAGCGAGCCGCCCCTCTTCTCGCAGAAGGTCTTCGCCTGGAGGAAGTTCATCTGCTGGTGGTTGTAGAAGATGTAGCAGTTGCCGTTGTAGGTGGAGGTGCTGCCCAGTGGCTGGTCGCGGAAGGAGGGGCACTGCTCGATGGAGAGGGCTACCAAAAAAAACAGCAAAGAAAAATCTTTTAAAAAAATTCTTTAAAATGTTTCTTTAGCTTACCATGATCAGTGTAGACAAACATCTCACAGATGGAGAGTGGACTTCCGTTTGACTCCAGCGTGATGCTGACAAAGGCGCCCGGCATCGGTCGAGCGCAGGGCAGAAACAGTGGCCGACCCTCCTCAATGTACCCGGTAAATTTGTTGCACACCGGATTCTGGCCCATGTCTGGGCGGTAGTTGCCCACGCGGACGGTGATCGTCGCCGGACTGCGACCGCAGCAGGAGGCGCCAAAGTCGATGCGGACCAGCTAAGAAAAAAAGTTGTTATTAAAAAACAGTTTAAATTAAAAATCTTTTTTGATTTAACAAACCTGAACTAGGACCGGCTCCAGGAGGTTGACGTAGAACCACGGCTGGGCCTCCGCCTCGGTCATCGAACAGGTGGAAGGGTTGAAGAAGGTGCTGGTGCCTG